TCAGGGCTGAAGCACCATTCGTCACTTTGCCATGTTCAACCAGAACTCATAGCTCTGTTGATGGTCCCTAATGTAAGTGATGGCCTTTAGTTAGGTGAAGAAGAAAGCTTACATTCCTTCCCATTTCATCCCGCCCCCCATTTTCTAAAACTTCTCGCTTTTCTTCCTTCACTTTTTAAAAATCAACCTCTTCCTCCCTCCTCGTCCTTTTGGGAGGCCAGTGCTCTACCCCAAGCATGGTCATATCGATGGGGTTGGGTGCTGGGCAGTGGAGGCCTCCCCTGCTGGCTGTGTCCTTCCCCTTAAAGGTGGGAGGAGTCCTCCCCCCTCACTGGACACAGGCCTGGCCAGCCTGAGGATGCATGCAGAGCCTTCCTCCTTTCTCTCCCTCTGAGTCTAAAACCCAGACTCTGGGACCCAGAGAACTTGGATCTTTATTCATGCGCCTCTATGAAGCTATTAGTGGCTAGAGAGCCATTATCCTGGCTCCAGGAATGAAGACAAGCTTGGCATCATTTAAGGTGGCCAGAGAAGAGGGAGCAAATGACCCCAGGGAAGAGGCTTGGAACAAGAGTGAAAGGAGGGGAGGTGGGGGGAGGTCACGGAAGGCACACAGCCTATTCAAGCTTTCACATCAGGCTCAGGACCAAGTTTTAGAAAGCTTAGATAAGGCCTGTGTGCCTCTGTTTATCTCTGTGCTCATGGCCATTATGACTCATTTAAAAATATTATATTGGAAATGTGTTAGGCACTAGTTTTTCCAGAATGAATTTATCACTGTTTCCATCTCTACCATGATTGCCATCACCACCAACACCATCATCAATATCAATACAGAGATGGCCATTGTTGACTGGATGAAAGTACCACCATAATCACTACCATCTTCATCTCCAACATTGCAGACTCGGTATCACACCTCTGCCACTAACACTACCACTGACATCACCACAACCACCACCTTCACCAAATCTACGCACCATTGATGACAACACCACCAATAGCCACTGTCATCACTGACATCCCAGTTGCTTCCACCACCATCACACTACACTACATAAACATCCTGACTCTTTCTAACATAGTGACATCTCATTCAGGTTAACAAAAACACCGCCAGGGATGCCTGGGCTGCACTGTGAGTGTGTGGAGTATATATGTGCACACCTGTCTGTGTTGGGCTGGGTAAAGAGTGGTCTGGGAAATTCATTCCTGAGAAGCATCAGCCCTGAGGATCAGGGCTGAAGCACCATTCGTCACTTTGCCATGTTCAACCAGAACTCATAGCTCTGTTGATGGTCCCTAATGTAAGTGATGGCCTTTAGTTAGGTGAAGAAGAAAGCTTACATTCCTTCCCATTTCATCCCGCCCCCCATTTTCTAAAACTTCTCGCTTTTCTTCCTTCACTTTTTAAAAATCAACCTCTTCCTCCCTCCTCGTCCTTTTGGGAGGCCAGTGCTCTACCCCAAGCATGGTCATATCGATGGGGTTGGGTGCTGGGCAGTGGAGGCCTCCCCTGCTGGCTGTGTCCTTCCCCTTAAAGGTGGGAGGAGTCCTCCCCCCTCACTGGACACAGGCCTGGCCAGCCTGAGGATGCATGCAGAGCCTTCCTCCTTTCTCTCCCTCTGAGTCTAAAACCCAGACTCTGGGACCCAGAGAACTTGGATCTTTATTCATGCGCCTCTATGAAGCTATTAGTGGCTAGAGAGCCATTATCCTGGCTCCAGGAATGAAGACAAGCTTGGCATCATTTAAGGTGGCCAGAGAAGAGGGAGCAAATGACCCCAGGGAAGAGGCTTGGAACAAGAGTGAAAGGAGGGGAGGTGGGGGGAGGTCACGGAAGGCACACAGCCTATTCAAGCTTTCACATCAGGCTCAGGACCAAGTTTTAGAAAGCTTAGATAAGGCCTGTGTGCCTCTGTTTATCTCTGTGCTCATGGCCATTATGACTCATTTAAAAATATTATATTGGAAATGTGTTAGGCACTAGTTTTTCCAGAATGAATTTATCACTGTTTCCATCTCTACCATGATTGCCATCACCACCAACACCATCATCAATATCAATACAGAGATGGCCATTGTTGACTGGATGAAAGTACCACCATAATCACTACCATCTTCATCTCCAACATTGCAGACTCGGTATCACACCTCTGCCACTAACACTACCACTGACATCACCACAACCACCACCTTCACCAAATCTACGCACCATTGATGACAACACCACCAATAGCCACTGTCATCACTGACATCCCAGTTGCTTCCACCACCATCACACTACACTACATCACACCTCTGCCACCAACCCTACCATGCCATTGACACTAACATCACTGATAACCACCAATTTCACTGACATCACCATTATCATCACCAAGATTTACATGGCCATCTCTTCTGCCAACACTACACTATTGCTGAAGTCACCATTAGCACCACCACCATCATCATTGACATTTCTACTATTGTCCTTACTGATATTCCTATCACAATCATTCACCACCATCATTATTGACATCACAGCTCCTCCCAACCACCATCATCGCTACCATCATGGACATCACCACTATCATCATTGATGTCACTGCCACCACCACTAATTTGTATCTTCTCTCCTAGAACTGTGTTTCTGTCCTTCAGAGCACAGAAATAAATTTGTAATCACACATTCTTTAATGTTGAGTGGTCCTCATTCAACTCTAAGTGTCATGAAAACAGGGATGTGTCTCTCTTTTTCCCACTGCTGCATTCTCAGTGCCTGGACAATGGGCAGCTCACAGTAAGGACTCAATAAAGGTGTTGAATTAACATATTATTTAGACTAGCACAGCCCCTACATTAAAGGCAATTTAGGATTAGGATTTCAATTCTTCCCATAATTCTATCTCCTGACTGGACCTAGAAAAAATAGCACTGGGTTATCTAACTGATAAGCAATTGAGGAGAAGCGTTTGCTGGCTCCATGATATGCTCAGCCATGGTGAGATGATTGTAATCTACAGTCCACGGCCAGTAGTGCTGCAGATGAGTTGACGGAAGTTTGGTTCTTCTAAGATATTTATGTCCATCATTATACCACCTGGAATTTATCTGAATCTGGATTAACTCGGTGTTGAGACTTAATCCAGTTCATTTTTAAGACCAACAGAGGTTTTCAAACATGCTCCCAGTAGGAGAGAGGTTACTTGGAGCTAATGATGTGAGTTTGAGGAGGGGTCTGATGGGGATCCCACAAAGGAGGGCTTTGGGCTCCCCATCCCAACATCAACTACTGGGTTTCTGGGAAAGACTGTGTTATAATGGGGTACCAGTGATTTTAGAAACAGGTTTGAAAACCATTGGCCTAGAAGCTGAGTGCTTGAAACTTTTAGTTTTGGAAGAGATATTCAGCATTGTGGATGTCCCAACCAAAAACCACAGACCAACTAATGCCACCAGGCCAAAAGAAGCACTAGAACATGCTTATCTGATGTTTCTGTGAACTTTCTCTTTCCAAGGCTACAGTTAGCTCCCCAAGATGTCTTTTACTCTGGTTCTTTGGAAGAATAAAAACACAATTTTGTTCTTGGCGCACTGTATTCCATGCAGGAATCCTTATTTAAATCACCTGTGTTGGGAACATAAACCTAAGGAGAAGCACAGTATATGAATCTTCGCAATGAATTCTGGGAGATTGTCACCTGAGGGGAGGAGACCAGACAGAATTGGCAGCATTGTGCCTTTGGCGTGATGGTCACTGAGAGTGATAGGATGGGAGCAGAAGGGTGGGGCAGCTGGCTGAAGAGTGGGAGGATGGTTATCTCTCACCCCCAAGGGCCAGGATCCACAGTAAAACCAATGGATCCCTCTGCTCATCCATCAGCCATCTCTGAAAAATGGTAGCCCCTGGGAAGGGCTGTGTGTGTGTGTGTGTGTGTGTGTGTGTGTGTGTGTACACATGTGCACACACTTACCGAGCAGCTATAGGGGCACTGACCAACCCCAGCTCTTTCTGGTCAATATTCATGTCGGCCCTCAGGTACCCCTCAGGGCATGGGCAGGCTGGGCAGGAGGCTCTGGGCCAGCGGTTCTCAACCTGTGGGTCACGACCCCTTGGGGGTCGAACGACCCTTTCACAGGGGTTGCCTAAGACCATCGGAAAACACATATATAATTACATATTGTTTTTGTGATTAATCACTATGCTTTAATTATGTTCAATTTGTAACAATGAAATTGGGGGTCACCCCAACATGAGGAACTGTATTAAAGGGTCGTGGCATTAGGAAGGTTGAGAACCACTGCTCTAGGCTTTGGCCTCGCCTGGGGAGAGTGGGTGGCTAAGTCTCTGCCCCAGGGAGAGACTGAACTGCCTGGCCAGGGAAAAGGTGGCATTCTCTGGGGAGACTGAATAAGGCTGAAAAGGATAGTTCAATTTGAGGAGATATTTTCAGACTGAGAAATGAAGGTGCATGTGAGGGAGGCTTTGAAACCAGGAGTGGAATCACCTGCTACCCAGAGATTTGGGCTTTGTCCTACAAACTGCTGGGAAGCCCTGGAGAAACAGCCTAGTGTGGGATTGGTGTGTTGGGAGTAAGGGGAAGAATGGGAGATGCCAACCCCTCTCAGGACTGAGTCCAGTGGATTGAACAGCCTATTAGACCATTCAACTCTCTTCCACAGGAGGTGGGAAGGCTCCTAGAGTTGGTTAGACCCTTAACCATTTTCTTCTCGGTGCAGAACCATTGCCACCTTGGAAAATTCATAGCCACAGAAGAGTTGCTGACCCAACCCATCCAATCTCTTCCCAGCATTTACGCCTCCAGCCTTGCAATCTCTCTTCTCCCCTCCTAGGCCTCTTTTCTCATTGGACAATCCTGTCTACCCTCAGCACCTGGCACATACTGCCCACCACAGACTGACTCCAGAAGGCTGTTTGTATTGCACTTGTATTAACTATGCCCTCACCCTAACACCCCAGCGGAATTGATCCTGACCTCACGGCTGAAGCACCACCTTTGTCTTGTCCACTGAGGGCATCTGTCCATTGCGTGTGTCCTCAGAGAAAGAAATCCTTTAATGGCTTTGGAACCTGGGAAGAGGAGGGTCTGGCAGGTTGAGGGAAACAGACATTGGTCTGCTGCTCTCATACTTCAGTTCATCCAGCCAGTGACATTCTCTTGAGTCCCTGGGTGCTCAGTCCTAGGCCCAGATCCACTGGGATGGACACAGGGAACGACGGGTGAGGGCTGTGCTTTTGGGAAGCGCAGTCTGCTAAAGGAGGCATGAGTTACATGTTCAAACAGCGAAAAGACCACGCCAGAGAACCCCTGTGGGTTGGTGACAGATAATGTGGCACAAACTGTCTCTGAAGCTGAATATACCTGCCATGGGCTGGGGTTGGAGATCAGGGAAGGCTTTTTGGAAAAGGAAGAGGAGAAGGACAAATAATTGGGGCAACTTACATCCTTCTGGATGAGCTCCGCATAAACCAAGCAGGCAGCAGAGATCAGCTCGTCGGCATCAAGGTCGACCAGGTTGTTGCAGGCCTGTGCCGGGAGAAGGCGGAGGAAGCAGGCATAGGCTGAGGGGACAAAGCTGCTACTATGGCTGTTGCTGGGGCCACTGGATCTTTTCCTAACCCACCTGGCACAGTGCTTGAAATTTCAACACTGGGAATTATATTTTGGAGAGATGGTAATTGTAGTTTTCATACTGAGGTCTAGGGAGTCCTGGGGTTCCACTGAGGGTCTCACGGGTTGCCAAGTTGGACTTGTTTTATAACTGGGGTGCCATCTAAGATGTTTTTGAATGAAGACTTCAGCACTGGTTAGAAATTTTGGGAAACTGTAGGTCTTTTGCCACAGGAGGACGCTAGAGCCAAGAGATTAACTGTGAAGCAGCCAAGCCTAGTGGTTAAGTACCAGTCAAGGCCTTGGACTCCCCATATGATCCATGGGGTGAAGATGACGCTGGGCATCACTCTGGGTCAGGCTTGTTGTGAAGCTCAAATGAGCACATCTGTCAAGCACTCAGTGTGGTCCTCGGGACATGGCAGCTCCCTCATGGTCCTTCCCAGGGCAAAGAGGGCACCGAAGCCCAGCTCCCTGCGAGCCTGGGGCCTTCAGCCGGGAAGGCGCGGGGTGGGGGGTCCCCAGGAGTGTGGGCTGGGCTTGACCAGAGGGTGCTCTCACCAGGAGGATGTCATCGCCAGCCATGCTTTCCTTCAGGACCTGCTCACGCACCATCTGCAGCAGGCTGTAGGCCACCAGCACCTGGAAGTTTCTGCAGGGCTTCCCCGTCAGCAGAACCTGCTCAGGAAGGCAAGTCTTGGTCTGCGCCCTGTGGCCTGAGACTGCACTGCCCTTAAGATGGTGAGGTACCCACTACCCACATGCCCAGGGTCAGACATTCCTGGGCCTCACTGCCGACTTGCTCATTCACTCACTCACTCACTCACTCACTCACTCACTCACTCATTCAGACAAGTGCTCACAGCTACCTCTGGGATTCTAGGCATTGAGCTGGCTCCTGGGGGAGTGGAGGAGTAAGGGAGAAATTGGGGAGAGGAATGGGGAGGGGAGAGGGAGGTAGAGAGAGGGCAGAGAACAACCAGGTAACATTTGAGTGGAGCTTCAGCAAAGCAATGGTTGATGTCAATAGTACAGGTGTCACCAAAGTCCTGTGGGTGGTCATCAACTTGGGCATGGAGACCAGCAGGTCAGGAGGGAGGAGGGAGTCAGGGTTGAGTCATAGGGCTAAACCTTCCAGGCTAAACGTTGGGCTGGGTCCTGCAGACAATGGAGGCCACCGGACAGGGCAGTGATGAGGGGTGGGTGTGTTCTAGGGGAGGTTCATCTGCTGATGGCCATGGGGACTGGGATCAAAGGACTGCAGGTGCAATCTCTGTGGGGGGACCCACCTCCTCCAGAGGGAAGGCTCAGCAAGGAGCTAGCACCCAGTTGGATGGGAAGACAGAGGAACGGGGAGATGAGGGAATGAGAGCAGAGTGAAGCACTTGGCAGGAGGCAGGGAAGTGAGCTGCAGGCCAGGTGTCCACAGCATAGGCTGTAAGGCCCCTTCTTCTGCCCTGACTGCCCAGAGAGGTGAAGTTGGTGGGACTGCATGAACAGATGGATGAACTGATGCTCTGGCCTCCTCCTTATTGGGCAGGAGCAGGGTCACTGACCCAATAAACCCTGAGCACCTGGACTCCATCCAAAGCCAGCAACAAGAGCTCTCCTGCTGCCTGCCTGAGGGGTGGGGCCTATCGCTTCTGCCCCCAGCAGAGCACCTCACCTCCCAGAGCCTCCAGACATCATCAAAGGACTTGAAAGCGCGCTGGAAGCAGAGGCAGAACCAGGGGAAGAGGGACTGCACAGCCCCTGCACCCTTTCCTTCTGTAGGGAGAGAAATGGGGTGCCAGCCAGGAGGCCATAATCAGAGAAAACGGATGACACACACAAGGGAGCTGAAACAGACAGCCAGACACCAGAGCATACCAAACACTTGGGAAACACAGGATGCTTGGCTATCATTTTTCCAACTGCCCTTGGAGATGGTTTGTGGTGGATTTTCCACTGTCCAGATTCCAACCCCATTGAGATGAACCCTGTCCACTCACTTAGGTGCTTAGCAAACACAGGGTCCAGGAAGCTGATCAGGTTGTTGAGCATGTCTAGGTTCTTGCCAACCCCGATGTTGATGACACAGCTGTGCTCCTGTGAAAGATGGGTGGGAGGGAGGGAAACTAAGTCCTCTGGGCTTGAGGGCACCAGGAAAGCCAGCCCTGCTCTCCAATTCCAGGGAGCCTCTGTATGTCTGGCTCCAGGCTGGGCCCATGTCTCTGTATAAGTCTGGTATTGTGTATGTATGTGTGCACACATCATGTCTGTGTCTATGTGGTCTGTGTGTGCCAGTGTATCCATCTGTATATATATGTGCACCTGTGTGTGTGCATGTACATGTGCATGTGTGTGTGCATGTGTGTGTGTGTGTGTGAGAGAGAGAGAGAGAGAGAGAGAGAAAGAGAAAGAGAGAGAGAGAGGGATGCAGAGATGTTTCAAGTGTGGCTCACAATGCAGTGAGCCCAGTTATTTCTCTGCACACATACTGGGGGTCAGAAGCAGGACCAGGGAAGCATGTATGCACACTGTTGCATGGGGAGGAAAGGATGAGGGTGGGTTCTGGGAAGCCTCTCATGGATCATGAGGAATTCTTTCTATGAAGCAGCAATTTCAAAAGCCTTTAGCCTGGACAGCGCGGTGTGCATCTGGGTAACCCTAAGTCCCCGGTGTGCCTGGAGCACAGGTCATGTGAAGGGAGCCGTGAGAGCAGCCTGACGATGGAGGATTGAATGCCTGGCTGAGGTCATTGGATTTTATTCTGAAGGTGTGAGGAGCCATGGGATGTTTGTGGAAGCAGAGCATGTTTTGGGAGAGGAATGCCAGAAGTGGGTGCCGTCACTGGGCCTTGTCAGTCACACCCTTTCAAGGTTTGGTGAGAGCTGGACCCAGAGCATCACTCCAGCCCCCTCCACAACTCCAATGCTTGCCACCCCAACCCTAGAACACACTGCACTGGGGAACACACTTCTAGGCTCCTCTGGGACCCAAAGAGCTGTTCCAGGGCTAGAGGAAAAGTCTGGCGTTGCCAATGCCTGCCTAACCTCAAGGGGTTGTTTAAAGATTTAGCGGGGGAAGGGGAGGCCCTCAGCTCAGGCCGAACCCTCACCGTTTTCTGCAGGAAGAATTGGAAGAGCCAGAAGGTCTCATGGTCATGTTCCACCATCAGCTGGAAGAGCATCACCATCTCATGGAAGCCCTGCTGGTACTCTGGGGGGAGGGGCCAGTTAGGAGGGGCTGAGTAGGAGGGCAGAGCCTGGGCTTGGGCAGGGAAGGAATTCCAGCAAGGAATTGAGAAGAGGAGCCCCGGGGGAGGCTCAGCGCTGTGGCACACCTGCCTGGGTGTTGCAGACATAGCTCAGGAGCAGGATCTTCTCCAGCTTCTTCTTGTCAATAAGGACGTTGCCCAGGGGATCTTTGTCGTAGAGTTTCTGGATGTCATATGCTAGATTGCAAGGAGGGACAGGAGGGTAGCACCAGATCACCTCCAGCAGCAGGTCAATGGGTGAGTTTATTTCCCCCAACCAACCCAGGCAGAAAGCTTTGAAAGGAACATCAGCCTCCACCCCCTCCGCCACCCCCACCCCAGACTCTCTCTCTCACCACACCCTGACCTGCCTGGGTTTCTTCCCACTTCCAAATTTTTGACCAGGCTGAACCCTCTGCCAGGTCTGTGACCCCTTCATCCAATTCAAATCCAGCCTGGTTCTAGACCAGCCGTGGGCAAACTATGGCCCTCGGGCCGGATCCGGCCCGTTTGAAATGAATAAAACTAAAAAAAAAAAGACCATACCCTTTTATGTAATGATGTTTACTTTGAATTTATATTAGTTCACACAAACACTCCATCCATGCTTTTGTTCCGGCCCTCCGGTCCAGTTTAAGAACCCATTGTGGCCCTCGAGTCAAAAAGTTTGCCCACCCCTGTTCTAGACCAAGGTGAGAAGAGATGAAGACAAACCAGCAGGAACAGCATGCACCCATGGAAACACCATGCCCCATGGGCATCTAGGGGCACCCAGTAGAGGTGGGTGGATGGACTAACCACGGTTTAGCTGGGAAAATTTCAGGCACATGTCAAGACAGCTCCCAGGAACTGGGTAAGTACCCCCACAAGACTGAGGAGGGCTCAGAGATGGCTTCCAGCAGTCCCCTCTGCACAGCCCTCCCACCCCAGTCTGCTCACCGATGTTATTCCGAGTCTCTGTGAAGTTCCGGTGCAGGTTTTCCAGAAGGGGCTGAATCTTCTCATACATCTGGCATAAAGCTTCATAATTTTTCCTATGAGAAGAGGACTGAAGCTAAATCAGGCAGCCTTTCCTCCCAGCAAGTCTAGGGACCCTGGGCTGTGCCCACTGTCTGGGATGCTGCCCTCCCCTCTGCCCGTGCCAGCCCTAACCATGCTCTTCTATGCACCTGGAGTGCAGATGGGGACGAGATTAACCTCATGGTTCTGCAGTCCGATGGCCACACCTGAATCCTGGCTTCACAACTTAATAACTGGAGTCTGCAACTAGGGTCAAGCCTTGGCGACCTCACTTTCCCTCTCTAAGCTTCAGGTTCCTCATTTGTAGAGTGGGATAACACTAGCACCTATGCCTCAGAATTATAAGGATTGAATGAGGGGTTTATGTGCCCATCATCACAATGAGGTTGAATGGTGTCCCCCATGTCCATGCCCTAACCTCTGGAACTTGTGAATGTATCCTTATTTTAAAGAGGGTCTTTGCAGGGGGAAAAAAAGGAGACATATGTAATACCCTTTGTAATACTTTAAGCAATAAAACAATTTTTTAAAAAAGGGTCTTTGCAGATATAATTAAGACTCTCAAGATGAGCTCATTCTTAATTACCTAGTTGGGCTCTAAATCCAATGACAAGTGTCCATATAAGAGATACACAGAGGAGAGATATAGGGAGGAGGCAGAAGGCCATGTGACCACGGAGGCATAGACTGCAGTGATGCAGCCACATGCCAAGGAACGTCTGGAGCCCCCAGAACCTTCAAGAGACAAGGAAGGGTGCTCCCATAGAGCCTTCTGAGGGAGAGAGGCCCTGCCAGGCCCTTGCTTTTGGGCTTCTGGCCTCCAGAACTGAAAGAATATATTTCTACTGTGGTAGGACACCTGGTTGGTAGTGCTTTGTTAAAGCAGCCTCAGGAAACTAACAGGTGGGCTCTTGTCTCAGCACTCCCCAGCTGGCCCTCAGATCCCCTACTGCCCTGGATTTTCCTCCGACTCACCCTGCACGTCAATCTTCTCCACATCCCTAGGCTGCACAGGCCCAGGGGAAGGATGGGATGTCATGGGGAGGGGGTGGGGGATGGGAGGAGAGCAGTTGCTGGGGTCAAGCCCATGTCTTGCTAGTATGTGGGCTGGTAAATAGAACTAGGCAGGGCTGGTGAAGGCCCCTTCTGTGTGTGGGCCCTGGGTCAGGAGTACCATGGGGATTTTGCCACTCAGAATGAGAAGTCTGTTTAAAGTCTATTTAAAGCCACGCTGGGGTGAGCACCCCCTCCCACTGTGCTACCACCCACCCTTCCCTGTAGGATCTGGAATGTTCTACCTCCTTGTACTGTCCACTGTGAGCCGCTCATCCTGGGAACTCTGCCATGAGTAGTAGCCCGTGAGGAACTTCCAGGCTTCTGTCCTCACGAAGGGGTGCAGACCCTGAAGTCGGGATGGGGGGTGAGAAGTCATGGTTCTCTGAATGCCTGCCAAAAGAGCCCCTCCCAATGCCACCTTCCCCCTTGCCCACCCATGCTCCGTAGTTCCAGGGGAAGACCCAGGCTTGGGGACCATACCCTTTCCAGGATGTTAACACAAATGAAGTCTCGTGACTTGGCCAACTGACCATTCTCGTCAAAGAAGCCATCCCATTCTGTCTTGTCAATGGGCGGCTTTCTCTTCACCTGTTGAGGACAACCAAGTAGCCTTCTGTTAGGGACATTTGGCTTTTCTTTTCAGTGTGATTTTTAAATGATATACTCCGGATTTTGCAATGTGAATCTAAGCTCACAGTAGTCTCTGACTCATTTCTGGAAATTTATCCTGAAAAAATTACTGAAAAAATATATTAAAATGCTGTATGCACAATAATTTTCATTGCACACTACTTACCAAAATGAAAAATGCAAGTGCTCTAAGTGTTATACAATAAGGGAATAGTTACGTAAACCATGGTTTATGTACTCAATGGAATATTATGAAGCATATAAAACGATGCTTACAAGGATGAATAATCTGGAAAAATATAAATGTTAATAGAAAAAAGCAGAATACAAAATTGCACATTCAGTATCTATCTTCTCTATGTACTATCTGTCCTCCATAAATGTCTGTTATCCTATCTAATAAAAGAGAAACATGGTAATTAGCATATGACCGCTACCTTTCCCATTGGCTAATCAGGGTGATATGCAAATTAACTGCCAGCCAAGATGGCGGCCGGCAGCCAGGCAGCTG